CGAGACTCTAATAAAAATAATATAATAATAATAGCTTTAAGATTATGTTTTATGGTACCGTACTACGCTTTAAGTTCTCTTCTCTGCCTGGCAGTTAAAAACTACTTACAAGTTTGAGTGATGAGTACGTCCGACGATCTCCGAAAGGCCTCCGAAGTTTCTACTCTTGTGCAATCGAGTGAGATCGATCATATAAATTATTATCGCGTATTATGTCCATTATCACTATTATAAAATAGATCGGAATAAACAAATCAAAATCACAGTTCACGAAACGGACATCCTTAATTCCCATTTCACGGAGCATTTTTTGATCGACAATCACGCCTCACGGCTGTAGAACAAATCACAGATCATGACAGTAAAATCAAGCATTTCACACAATCAAATATTGACCATTCACGCAGTGGCGTAGACAAGGGGGGAGGTTCAGCCCCCCCCCCCCAAATAGGCTGATGGACTGCCCTTGTAAAAGATGAAATCCGGGTAGAAATTAGGGGGGGGTGGGACGATGACTACCCATGTGACTACCAATCTCATCTGTTCACCAAATTGTCTATAAAAGTTCTAATCTTTCCTAAATCTAACTACAGAAAATAATGCCTATGGTGGTTATTGGTTAAAATGCGTTTTAAAACTTCGATTTAACTATTCACACGCGACCAAGTAAGCTTCGTTGAGTCAAATTAAGGATCCACATTATTGAGAAATCATTAAAAATCAGGTCTTTCCTGCAGTAAATAATCTTCAGAATTATGCAAAATAATCTTCAGAATTATGCAAAATCTCTCCCCAGAAACACGGGAAATCGCCATTGAGGGACTCCAGATTTCAAAATTTTCCCGGGGGAGAATGCCCCCGGACCCCCTAAAAAGGCTTACGCCTTCGGCGTTCGATATATGCCCTCCCAAAAATTATAGTCTGGCTACGCCACTGCATTCACGGGTCACAAAAATACCCTTACCCACCCGGCTCATTAATATCGCTCTCTGATTCTGAATAAAAATCGCAGTTTATAATACGTATTGGGAACACTGATACGATTGGGAACCGTGAGAATTTGTATATAGATGCCATTACGCCAATGCAAAATGGTTTACACACTTTAATACACTTGATCCAATTTTGATTGGGACTATGGTCTACATTTCGTAGACCATAGCCCCGTATAAAATGGGCCAAGTATAAAATTGGCCAGGTATAAAATGGGCTGTGATAGTTATATCATAGAATAGGAAGGTATACCAGAAGTCTCACTCAAGCAAGTATTTGTCCGCGTTTTTACAAGCGATTCGTCCGATCATCAATCACGCCATCCTGGCTAGTAAAACCGGCACTTTGTACCTATCAAAACCTGATAAAAACTTCCGGCTGTACTAGCCAGGATGGCGTGAGCGAGTTAAAATTTTCGTGGGTTACACTTCTGCTATACTTTCCTATTTTGTGGTTATATGCTGTATATTCAAATACATTCTTCAACCGGAATATAACCATACGTGGTTATTATTGTATTAACGCTATAGTTAAAATTTTAAAAAATATCGTGCACGCGGCAAGATTCGATAAAAAAATATCGTGCGGAGTCGGTGAGGTCCAAAAAAAAATCGAGCACTCTCAAAAATGCGCCCCTCCCCCATGAAAAATCAAATGGTCCGTCCCTAATATAACAGTAAAAGGCTAATCACTGGCGGCACGACCGCATCGCCTTCAAAGTCAAATATCTCCGCTCAAACTTCTCGTACACATGAAACTGTTTTTTACAGTTTCAATATTAGTTTGTAAATCTCTGAATGGTAAAACGTGCCAATACTCCAATGATACGTTTCAAAAAAAAGACAAAAAAGCTTTAGTTTTGAAGAGTTAAATTCTCAAACGTGTAAGGCAATAATAAGATGAAAGTATCACGAAATTATTTGAATAAACCACGTCGCATATATGGGGGCGAATGTCCTAAAGAGGGGCGATATTCCTAGAGTATTCGCCCCACCCCCCTGGGAGGCGATATTCCTAGGATATTCGCCCCCGGGGGCGATATTCCTAGGAATATCGCCACGTTTTGAGGGGGGGGGGGCGAATTTCCTGGGGGGCGACCTTTTTAAAAATTCTATCTTGCCCCCCCAAAATTTGAGTTTGCCCCTCAAATGCCCCCCCAAATTTGGAAGCCTGGCGCCGCCACTGTATATAAGCAATGCTTCCGATTTTTTCACCACAAACGTAACTGAAGCTTTAATTAAAATTGTTAAAAGTGCGAACCATTTCATAACTTTTAATAACTTCGACCATCTTATATTCCAAACTTTTACCAAATTTTTCCGAGTTTTACCTTCAATTTTAAGCAAATATCAGTTCCATTTTGACCAACTTTGGCCAACGTTTGAAATATGGGGGGGGGGGGGCCCTATAGCGACGTCCCTGACGTACTTCAATATGAAGACCGCTTAGCCGAGCTTCATGCAGCAGAAGTAGATGCCGAATATTTTGGTTACAGGTCACTCGAGAAAACTATTTCCTAAGATACTGAGCACTGGTATGCCACCTCACTTTATGTCACAGCTGACAGGTCAACCTGAACTATTGGGTTACAAATTAGTATGGTTTGTCCTGTTATGTTTTTGCTGGTAAATGACAAGGTATACCACTCATATGAGTCTTCCCAAAATCAGTTTGGCGATGCCATAAAACCATGTTGACATCGAGGGGAAAAGGCTGTTACAGGCATATTCATAGATATTCAATTTTATTTACACCTGCATCAATGATCCTGTAATGGACCGGTTGTACTAAGTCAGTCCCCCAGTAACAGCAGTTTCAAAATCCGTCCGTATCTCCCGACAAGTTAACATTCCATCGATTAAGGGACTTGTCTCGTGCTAGTCGTTAGGGCTTCGTATGTTACATTTAGGCTAGATTTCGGCTAAACCCAACCTCGTTCCCAGGGCTTCAGTGTGAGGACGAGGCGAGACACGAGGAAGCCCTGGTCCGGGCCGGTCAATTTTGCATTCTGATTGGCTAACACCATATTGTCTAAAAATAACTGAACTTGACAGTTGACAATAACAATTCAACATTTGTATTTTTATGATTCTTATGTGTACGAGTATGTTTTGCAAAATAATCTTTCAAAATGAGACGTTTTCCCGACTGCATGATTTACTTTCGCCTCGGCCGGTTACAAAACTCAAAAGCCGTGTCGACGTGAGCTAAGACGTGAGCCTGACAAAACAAGAAACGTCTACTATTATTTGAGCCGTAGTTTTCCCTGTACAGTATTTATAATGTAGTGCAGATGTCTGATGAAATACTACCCGTATTGCATTGTAGTAATATTTTAATTTACAATATTCTGCACTGACAAATAAAAGCAAGACAAACAATTAAATGAAACTACTAAATTAATTTAGGCCCTGTTTACTTAATAGCTCTACGCCTTGGCCGATGTAGTCCCTACAAGATTTGTCACGCCACCGACTTTCACAGTTCCAGAATACCCCGAATACTTGAAAATTGCGACTATACGATAAAATAAAACAAAGATTGTGAAGGGGATAAAATTTGTAGGCAAACATTGCTCCTGAACGGCAAGTGTTGGTGTCCGGCGAAACAAGCGAATCCGTATATTAATCCTGTACAGCGTAAACAGGTTACGCGAGGTTTTATATTTGTGTTTATTTATATTGAACTAAGTCAGATCTATAAGAGCATATTTAAACTAAATATTAATTATAGCAATAGCCATATTGTTGAAGACGAGAGGAAGGAAATTTCGTGTGAATCACCACTTGCATGGAGACGCCTAGATGCAGCTTGGATGCAGCTTTGCCTGTAGTTGAAAATCTCCAGAAATATTGGTATATCTTAGAAAACATAGCCGGGATCTTCATAGATTTTAGCTGATTCGTGCCAAACTTCGCTCTACACATAAATAATATCGATTGAGAAGTCTTTTGGCTATTTATTTGTTTCGAAGACTTGTATATTTCATTAAAGAATATCTCGCCACTCCTTGACGAGCAGCTGTCAAATACTGCCATTTTTTGACGTCACGTGACCGGCCCGGACTAGGCCTTCCTCGTGTCTCGCCTCGTCCTCACACTGAAGCCCTGGGAACGAGGTTGGGCTAAACCTTATTCCGTGGCTAAACCCAACGTATGTGGTGACATCGAGTGGCTTACCAACCGGAATTGAACGAACTATATGGGGGAGAATGGCTGCAAGACCCTGTAACCTGTAACTGCAACGCATGTAGGACGTGTTAGTATTATGCAAATGAAAACTCAACGCATGCGCAGAGTCATGGCTATAAGGTATGCCGAAAATAGGCGTACTTATAGCCACGGTAATAAACTAACGCGATAGTCCATTTGTAAACTGCTTTTGTATGCAATTATCTTCCATAAACTACTACAGTTCAAACTCAAACTGATACAGCGGTACCGTTCACGAAATAGGCCTGCGTGCGGGCAGTCTCATGACATCGTCGATGTAAGAATTAGGTTATCTTTTCATGTCACGCAATCACGAAACCTAATCTAATCCCTAACCTCCTAACCACTTATATTTCGTGACTGTGTGCAGGAAGGGTTCACAATAATCGCGGTAAATGAGAATGGAAACGAGAAATGAACAAACGACCAATAAGAACCCGATATTCACCGTTGATGCCCAAATTGGGAATAAATCAATAAAAGCTGAATATTGCTCCAAAGGAATGTCACGCAGTCACGAAATATGGTTAGGAGGTTAGGGATAGGATTAGGTTTCGTGATTGCGTGACGTGAAAATATAAGAATTGAAGTTGAGGCTGTGCATATCAATTAATAGATCATAAATTTCAACGATATATTAAAATAACATACAATACAATATACACATTTGGAGAGTAAAATAACACCAGTACAAGACAGTTCGTGATATAGTCAGACTAAAATTATATGAATGTTTCAGCATGTATAAATTATGTATGTTATTGTACGTATAATAAATAATTTGTGTTGCACATATCAATCTTTCTCGCTACTCCTCTTCTCTTCATACTTGACTCTGCAAATTAAAATATGTTGTTAAAACGATTGCTCATGTATGGAAGTACACAAAAGAACAAATTGGTGAAGCCAGTTTAATCGTATTTATGTAATAGTGAACAAACAAACAAACAAACAAACAAACAAACAAACAAACAAACAAACAAACAAACAAACAAACAAACAAACATACATACATACAAGACAAACAATCATACAAACAAACAATCATACAAACAAACAAACAAACAAATAAACAAACAAACAGACAGACAAGCCAACAAACAAACGAGCAGAGAGACAGGCAGGGGAACGAAGTGAAGAACAAACAGACAAAAACCAAATAATGAACGAAGAGTCAAACAAACAAGAAAAGAACAAACCAAGGACGTAACAGAATATACACCTTGTTTTGATCAAAAACTGCGCCATTCCAACAGCTTCTGGATTTCCACTGATTGTGACAATTCTTTCACCTGAACCGCCTGTTTCATCAGCGATCTTGATTGCTGCTCCTGATTTATTTCTACAAAGCATTTAAAAATGTAAACTTAGATGTTTTATTTAAACTACGACTCAAATTAGATTGTAGCAAACTACACAATACTGTATTGTACAATTCCATATGATCGCACTAGCATATACTGTATACTTTATTGGATAAGGTTGAAATAAGGTTGGGCATGATGCAAATATTAGTGAGGTTCAGATTTGACGTCCATTACCGCTACCATTAAGGGACCATTAGCCAATCAGATGCGTTTGATATACCCGATCAACCAATCAGATGTTTACTAAACCAGTGAGAAGTAGCGGTAGCGGTAGTGGAAGCCCAATCTGAACCTCTCTAATGAAAGGCTGGCGAGGACGGCTTTAAATTATAAAGTACAACCAGTATAACCACAAGATATACAATAGTGTTGCACATGATGTACTAAAATAATATAAATAAAATTAATTATATATTAATAACCTGATTTCGCTGATTTTCACACCACGTTTCCCAATAACACCTCCTGCATACTAAATACAAAAGTTTTACACTAAATGAAAATTTCGATGTCCACAAACAAACATGCATGTAACAAAAACATGCAACAGAGAAGGATTTAATACTTCATAAAAATATCCCAGCATGTACTTACTCGACTTGGTATGGACATAGTTTCTGTCATGTACTCATCATAGTCCTCGCTTCTCTTGCGTCTTCCTAAGAATGTTTGAAGAAACACAAATTACATAAATTTGAGCTTTTAAAATATCCATATAATAATAATTTTATTGCAGCTTATATATATTCAGGTACAGAATAGTGTATATCTATACGATAATTTATCTATTAAATAAATCAATTATTCATAGCGTAGAGCGTCTGGGAGATCAAGAGTTGCTTCACTGTCTTTGCGAATGATCTAATGTCTGGGGAAGTTTATATAGGTGGCTGCTGAATCCTGGAAAGTTCCTTTGCCTGGTGGAATCGACAGGCGTGGTGCAACACTATTCCATATACACAGTTGGCATAATATAACGCAACCATATCAAGTAGTAAAGCATCGGTCAAAGCCGTCAAACGAGGACGAGAGTTACAACTCTCATTTGATGTAAGTGCATGAGAGTCGATCTCATCAACTTCAAATTTTGATAAGAATTTGCAACAACTCGTTCAGATTTTGATAGATTTTGAATTTATTCGGAGCGTTTTCGCTACGGCTCGGTAATATCCAAGGTTCTCCTTATCAAGCAGTAACAGGTAAAATTTGCCGTTTCCACCAGCAGTTATTACCGCCTAGAAAAGCCTAAAATGTGTGTACATTTGTTTAGAAAGAATTAGTTATATATGTCGTGCAAAAATCCTATAATCAATAAGGTATTGCTGACATCTGTACAAAACAATTAGTAGCATGGAATTGAATACAGAAATGTCCTATAGAAATGTTCTCCAAAAATTTAAACCTTCCCTCAACACGCAAGAGATGCCATTTCAAAGACTCCAGATTTCCTCCTAGAAATTTGTGACGTGATGCTTACATGTTCAAAAACCTGTTTTACCTGCCCTGCACACAACTGTGGAGAACCATGAATATCTAGTCAACTCACATCAGCTCTCGTGCAACTCTTGTCTCGTTTGACCGGGGCACGAGTCGAGAAAAGTCTCATGCAAACTCATTCTCGTTTGACCAGGGCTTTAAACAGAATAAACAGGTGCAGCAAAAGAAGCCAGCTTGAAGTACACTCGACATTCAAGTACATTCGAATTGCTCGAACTTGTTTAGGAGGTTTTAAATGTCTTTCCTTGAAATGCAAATCTAATTGTGAAAATTCCTTGCCCTTTGAATCCCTCAAGGTTGGTTGCGAACCACCTCTAGTATATGTAAAGTATGCTCCAAATTTGTTAACTGGTACACTTTATAGAACAACACTCAATGTCTTACTTGAACTTGCGTTTCTCGACGAATAACGCAATGGCTCTCTGCTCCTCTAAAAATAAAATTATAAAAATTATTTGCAGAAATAAAAACCTCTTTGCGAGATTTCATTGGAAGGCCAAGCATTCGTGAATTTTTTAAACTTTTGTTATTCCAAGTGTTCTTCCAAGAAGTAGTTGTCATACAGATAGTTTGATACGCGAATTATTTACAACTAAATTATTATTAACAATTAACGAATTATTAACAATTAAATTATTATTTTCTCGGTAAGCGTCATCAGCCTCGCCTTCGGCTCGGCTGATAACGCTTACCTGGACCTTGATAATTCCGCATATCGCAAAAACCGAATCGCATTTGTTTGTGTTACAGTCAAATACAAGAACCTTCCCACTTCCGCAACTTGTTTTGTATTTATGTTATTTGTTCTATTTTCTGTAGCGATTACCGCTTTATCGGCACATATCGCGTTAGGATCCGGCAGAATTTCGCTTTCCTTCCTTTATATACGTCAATTTGTAGCATTGCGATATTTATATTTATAATTATAGCGATATTTGCTGACAAATCGGTTTTAAACCGCCGCCTAGTGTGTTCATACTATACAAATTTAAACTTACCGAATACAATCATTTGACGTACTAAAATGAAAATTTCGCAACTTTTATGAAAAGAATCTAACGAAAGGTGTACCCTCTGCTGCAAATTGACGTATATAAAGGAAAGAAAGGGGAATTCTACAGCGATATTTGCCGATAAAAATCGCTACAGAAAATAGAACAAATTACAGAAATACAAAACAAGTTACAGAAGCGGAAGTGGGAAGGTTCTTGTATTTTGACTGTAAATAGATATCGCTTGCTAATCATCGCAGGCTCACTTGCAGATAACTGAGTTATATGCTAGCAGATAACTGAACTTTCTGTAGGTTGCGTGATTGCGCGATTTAACTGTAAGCTCTTGGCCAATCAAATTGCTTTCACCAACTACAATGTATAATAATTACATTAATGTGCTGTTCGATACGTACAGGTACGTCATAATAATCTCTCTCATAATAATCTCTCTCAGATCTACTGGATCTGCTACTCATGTAATTCTGTGGATAATACGGATCAACGTGACCACGGACTGGATACTACAGAACAATACAAAACACAAATCAGGTACATTCAAGCTGTTATAAAAGCAACATGCTCAGATAGTTGAGTTTCAAATTCGGTGGGGGCAGCCATTTAAAAAGGGCACTTACTTCTGAGCCCTAAACGTTTTGTGGGCAGCAACGTTTGTTAACATTTTGCTGTATGGAATTCCACTCGATTACATGTAGCCAATATAATTGGACACATTTCGGCATTGATTGGAACAATTTTATTCGTTAGACTAAAACCCTGTATATAAAACATCGAACAAAGCTAAGGTGGCTCAGTTTTCCAGGGATAATTTGGAATTCCAGGGTTTTCAAGGGTTTTTCAGTACTAAAATAAAAGGGTTTTCCAGGATTTCCAGGGGGCGTACGAACCTGTAAAATGCATTGCATATAAAACAACATGACAGCTTCTCAATTATTTACGAAGGCTTTCTTTTTGATGATTTTTCATATTGGTGGAAACCTTGGTATAACGTTTCTGAGAGGAATTCCAGATTCAAGTTTGAACTAAATTGTTTGAAAACAGTTCTCAACTTCAATTCATGCGAGTAACGCACGACATTCGAAGTGTTGTTCTTGTAAAAAAGGCAACGGGGGCAGCTGCCCTCGCGCGCCCCTGGGAACAAGCAGAAATCTCTCTATTTGATTTACTTCGCAAAATTCGCAGGAAAAAAAATGACTATTGACTACTTCTAGATTATACTTGATAGTAATAATGAAAGCGACTACATCCCTCTGTTTGACCTGATCATCTTCTGTACATTAATGTTGTCTATTGAATACCATTGGGTAACATGCTGCCCAGACCACAACACAAAGAAATGAATGTAGCTCACCTCAACCATTATTTCACAGAGAGATTTCATACATGAATTTATGTTCGCTGGTTTGCCTAAAATATTTAGAAATAGTTCACTACGCGATTTGCATTGCATAAAATGCCCCAATCTTATTGGCAACACAGTCATTAATATATTTACAAAAGTCCTCGATCAGCACACTGTATCCGTATGCAGTACATTCATTCTGTACACGCGTGCAGTACAAATAGCCATTCGCAGGCTAATTTACAATTTTATTCTTCGTTGTATAATCTATAACATACCAGATAAAGTTATCATTCTTTCCGATGACATTGGCAATGGATCGGTTCCAATCTGTAAACAAAGGTATACACTCAGTATAGAAATGCACATGCTCTCAGAATGAAATTGAATAAAAGTTACGAGGTTGTTTAGGAAAGTATGCTATTTTCTTCAATCAAAAAATTATTTTAATTAACCAATTGCTCTCTCGTAGAGCGAAAGCGTTTCTCTTAATCTTCCCGTCGCTCCCCTTCATACTTAAGGAGGCTCTTCAGTGGAAAGAGAATTAATTGTATGTCAAGGTTCTTGCCATTATTTAAACACTATTACCTGAATATGAGCTCCAGATTTCTACAATGTAAAGAAAGGGTAATATGTTTAAAATTTTTATCCAACATTATCCAACATTGTTGGCCTCGTTTAAACATTGTGTTGGGTAATGTTGGATTGGTGTTGACTATGTGTAAAATTTTTATCCAACGTTGTTGGCCTCCTTTAAAAATTGTGTTGGGTAATGTTGGCTGATGTTGGATCGCATTTGACTATGTTTAAAATTTTTATCCAACATTATCCAACATCATCCAACATGTTGGACTCGTTTGAACTGGATTTAACAGTTTGCACATACATAATCATATGATGCAGTTTTTGCATAGCGACATGGACGGGGATATGGATTAGTAATATACAATCACTTTATGGTTTCCGTGTTTGGATGGCCTGATCCAAACACGCGGGAATGTTGCGAGAGTTAAGAAAAGCGCGCGAAACACGAGCCGAAGGCGAGTGATTTTGCGCGCTTTTCTTAACTCGAGCAACATTCCCAAGTGTCTGGATCAGGCCATCTTACGGAAACCATAAAGTAATTGTTTTATAAAATAACAACTTTCCGTGTTAAAATTTCACTTTAAAAAACTTTCACTTTAAATTTCCGTGTTATGGCCTGATCCAAACACGGGTTTCGACCAATCAGAGCACGCGTTATATACATGTTATTTTATAAACAAATTTCTTCATTTGACAAAGAATTTCAGTGAAGTATCAAATTAAGAAGAAGTGGTCAGTCTTACAGAATAACCAGAATGAAGTTTTTTTTGCGCAGGGAATATTTTTTCCTTGGGAAAAGTGCGCGAAAATGTCAGATATTTTCACAGAAAATTTACGGCAGACCAAGGGATCCTGCAGTGAGAAAGTGTTTTTGTCAAATAGGAAGATCAGAAATCTACAGTACTTGGTTATTGCTTCATGAAAGTATTTTGTGCAGATTCTTCAGAAATTATTTACAGTTTTTTAAAATATGCAAGATGCATATGTTTTCCTGAATTCTTTTTATTATTATGGTGCTGTATAGTTGTGTTTCAAATGCATTTACCTCACGAATTAACTTAATCTTTGATCCACCTGATCCAATAAGAGATCCACACTGACCAGATGGGACCAACAGTTGAAATGTCAGGGGAGTGTATGAAGATCTATCGTTGTTTAACAAGTTCTAAATTATGTGAAACCATCAAAAAGTTATTTTAACTAACAATGACGAATAAAGATATAAAGCCGAAATTGTGTTGCATAGGGATATCAAACTATCTTGTCCATAATTATCACCACACCAAAAACCCATTAACACACGGCAGCAATACTTTGTTGGTTGTCAAAAATGTAGTTAAATTAAAAGGTACAGTAAGTTACCAGGGTTTAGTTCAATATCAGGATTTTGGCATCTCACTCGGTAAGCTAATTGTTGAAGGGATTTGTAGAGGAAAATTTTGAGTGGAATTTTTTTACATTTATTAGAGATCTAACCAGGAGCAGTTGCGAGATTTTCATCTACGTAGGCCTATCAGTATACGTAGGCCTATCAGTATATGTAGGCCTATCAGTATACGTAGGCCTATCAGTATATGTAGGCCTAAAGCTAGACACACAAAGCAATGAAGCACTACTTACACAAAAAATCTTAGATGTTTGTTTTTTTTAGTTTACACGTACAAGTGCAGCTGGTTACAGTAATAGGGAAATTCAATTGGGAATTGTGGAAATAGGTTTTGTAGCTTGCGCAGTAGGAGCGCAGTGTCCTTCAGAAGTAAGTTGTTCAGGCAGGTGAGATTGGAAATACTACAAAATGGTAAGGCTGTGTGGGGAGCAAGGTCCACAACTACTGTCTCCAATTGAAACTGTGTTGGAATAGTCTGGAAAGGGGGGGGGGGGTGGCAGGGTAAAAAGGCCTGATATTGTAAGTAGTTACCAATGGGTGGTGCAAACGTACGGTTGGGCAATGGGGGAAATTAGGAAGGGTGGGGGACAAAAAATGACAATGATCACCAGTGGGAAATTGGAAAGTAAAAAGGTAATGAATTAGGAACCAATTGATCTGGTAGGTGGGAGTCAAAATGTCGGAAGCTGTAGAAAGTGTACAAAATATTCACACTGCAAGGAGGGGTTGTAAGGGGGGGGGGGGGTGTGGACCATGGTGGTAAGAAATAAGTACCGTAAGGTGCTGTATGTCATGTTGTCATGGTTTAGTTTTGGATGGATTAAATGGAGGTGATTGCAGATGGAGGGGTTGTGGTGAATAAGTTTACAAAGGCAGGAAGCCACTTTTCTAAAAAGAAAATATTTTGTTTTGTTAATTTAGGTGGTAATAATCAGAGACCCACTCATAGCTACAATGAGTGGTACGGCTGTATGGTTGGTAGCGCCTTGGGGAAAGTAAGGGCATTTGTTGTGGTGACAGATTTTTAAAAGTTTCACAACACAAATTTCATTCTAATCCATAATATACAGTACCTTAACGAATGACAGCCTTTAATTACATATACACAAATTACAAACAACAGTTTGCTAATATATCTAATTCTAAATTTATGGAAATTATGTAGGTACTGTATATATGGTATTATTACCTCTTCAAGGGTTTGTACGATCAATTTGAAAGCACATATTATATTGTTGACTCCACCAGTGACAGACACAACTCTAAAATTTTGATTTACAACAAAAAGAATATTGCAACACAATAAACCAATTCATAATGATGAGTGTGCATCCAAATTACATGCTTTGTGTCAGGATAAAATTGCAGTTGAATATCATAAAAAATAAGTGCCCACATTTACATAAATAGACTATACCTTTCTCTGGATGCATTGTCACTGATATTAATGATAGCATCACTCTAAATTTTGAATGAACTTAGATTAATATTTCTTTGAAAAAAATGTGATCAAGTGGGGTATGCTAATCATCCAGCTAAGATCTAAGCGGAATTGCGAAGGATGCAGCTCAATCTGATCGAGTTGAAGGCTTTCTATAAGGGCGGCTTTGGCAGCCACCAGCAGGGCAGGAAAAAATAATTTTCTTCCTGGGAGCACAACCTGGAGACAAAAATTTCCTGCAGACCAAAGGAGTATTTTTGTGCTAATTTTGCATGTGCATAAACATATAGTGTTCTAGCTGACCATGGTTTTAAATTCAAGGAATAATGTCTGTCAACCATATGTTGTTGTGTTGTGCCCATAGTGGGACATGGGTGTCTAAGGTTTCCTTCAAATTTTCAATAGCAAATCTTCATTCAAACGAATTTCCTGTAGCTGTTTAACATTTCCTGCGAGCAGTGAGCGCGTGCTCGCTTATTTTTCCACCCCTGGCCACCAGCGACGGTGGAAGGGTCAGTTATGACAGTGGAGCATATACCAACCCACCCTGTCAACATTCACTGTGGGAGGGAAACAGAGTATCCAGAGAGGGTAAAGGTAACATATTTGTCATGCGCAAGTCTGCAGCGAGAATCAAACCCACAATCTCAGGTGAAAGGTGCTAGACGATTTTACTTATATCACACTACTCAAGTTGCAACGACAACGTAAACAAACACGTTTTACTTTACGGTTTTTCCATGAGGGTTGCAGGCACTACGCCATTACAGTTTGTTTACAAATTAAATTAGCACTCATGTAAACTCAAAATATTTCAAATAGAGCAAAGAAATTTAAACAAAAAGCATTCGAATTTACTGTTTTGGGAACTGAGATGCCCGGTATGCCACCGGTACAAGAAAGTAAATGGCATTCGTGTTCACACGAGGCCACCACCTGTTCCGTTTTCATCTCACTTCGTTTAGAAACCATGCTCAAATTGTTACGGCAAAACTGATGTTTTCAAACAATTCCCCCCAGCGTAGTGTGAACGTGACGGCTAAAGCCAGTTTTCCACTTCAAGCATACCGTACCGAACCGTATCAAAAAAATTTTAAATTTCAAATTTTAGTGAATGTTGATTGGTTAATACTTCCGTAGTACGCCAAACAGTTGACTTGCGACGAACTTTTCATTTCGATACGCGAATACACCCGGAAGCATAGAGATTATAAAGAACACTAGAGGAGGCATCGAGTTTAAGAATTGGGAACGCAGCTAATGGGGGGCAAATTCAAGCCCCGGATATAAAATCGTGCTCTCATTGGCTGATTTGAAACTCGTCACCAATGGGAACACGAATACACATCCGGGACTTGAATTTGCCCCCCAATAGTCGCGTTCCCTTTTTTTTACTGAATTAAGATTACAATGCCTCCTCTAGTGTTATTTATAATCTCTATGCCCGGAAGTACGTGGATTTATCAACCTCTTTTCAATCTACGCATGCTCACCAGTACGATTCGGCACGGTACGGTTGAAGTGGAAAACTGGCTTAATTGTGACTTTTCTGCGCCGTTTTCAAACCACTCCAGCATAGAGCGACCGAAAAATATCGAGATTCCAACATATCGAAAATTTAAATATAGAAAAAACGATAATTTTGGGGATATCAAAAGACCGCAACAGCTTAACTACATGTATTGTAATATACTGTACAAAACAACTCACAGATTTCCTTAAATTTTGTATTGTTACTCCACCCTAAAAATAAAGTTGAATATTAAATCATTTTAATTAACTACGATTAAATATACAGTAGACATTATGGTATATGACTATTAATTTAGTTTTTTAAAATTATAGTAAATATATACCTTTCCAATTAATGTACCAGCCTCCTAGAATAAAATATTTAGTCATATTTAGATTACAAGTTGCAATAAAAAATATGCAACAAGACTTTCCAACTGGAAAAATCATTGGCGTGGGAAATTGTGTAGCCAACATAGCATAAATCCGCTATCGATGCTCTGATCATGCTCCTAAATCATTCTGACGCATTGAGTGGGTGGGCACTGAATAGAGAAGGGGGCTTATCGATTTTACAGAAATGCAGCAAGTGCGAAATGCAGGGCTCGAAGTAGAGAAAAAATATGGCCTGCCAGTCTAAATATTTTTGGCAGGTGAAATACATTTCAGCCTGCCATTTTTATTCATTGAACTGCCAAAATGGCGATGTCTCATTTGAGTCATATTGTAAAAATCAATGTTTTGACGGATATGCATTTTTATTATTTTTAAACTTGTCTATTTTACTACAGTAAACTGGGATTTACATTTCAAATATAAGCGTATTTAGTCAACTAAATGACCTATATGAGTTGTGGTAAGCAAATGAAATGAAAGAATTTCACCTGCCATTTTTTTTTTGACTTGGCAGTTCAAATTGTTCAGCACATTTCAGCCTGCTATTTCGAGCCCTGGCGAAACGTAGTAATTAAGGTGAAATTCCAGCTCAAATAATACAACTATATAAATG